AAAGAGAGGATGTTTTACGAAGAACTTGCAGGCAAAACATGCTTGCAATAAGACAAAATAGCACAAAAAATGGAGAAAGAAACGCTCAGAAAATCGGTCGTGCCAGATTCGTTTAGCTCGCCTCTCAAAAACATCCCAGATCCTCAACCCCAGCCCCTCCGGATATTTCCCAAACGGGGGGTCGTCTGAAGGCCTTCAGAGAGCCAGTTGTGCTGCTCTGATGAGCGCTTTGGTCGCTGTCATCAGCATCCGTCACCTTCAGCAGCTCGGCGGCGGCTCGGCCAGGAGTTGGAGCGCCGCCGCCGCTGCCGCAGCTGCCCGATCAAAGCCGGCCGGGCGCCACTTTCCCACGGCTCTTTCGTGCAGCGCGCCCCGCCGCGCCGTCTCGGCACGCTCGGCCGACCGAGACGCGATGGATGAATCACGCTACGCGTCGGGAGGGACCGTGAAAAGGGGACCAGTCTCACCTCTGGGTGGTGTGGGGTCAACTATGGGAGGGGAATGGCGGCTGCGCCACCTTCATGGGTAAGTGAAATGGAAATGAAGCTGGACTCAGCGTTGAGGGGACGGTGCGGAATCGTATTGGAGTCGGACAAATAGTGATAAACCCAAGATCATTTGTCAGAGCGTGATCATGACTGTGGCGAATCCCTCATTTATAAGGCCCAAGTGAAGCCCAAGAAACACAAGCGAAGTCATTTTCCTAACGGCGACGTAAATTATGCGATGCAATAGGGAATTACTGACATGAAGTTGGGAATGAAAACTTCGATTTCCTGTGTAGTTGCACAATGCAATACCTGCTTGCTCGCAAAGTCGTGCTGCATTATGCATGCACAGCTCCTCATTTCGGCTCATGTGATTTCTCCTTTGTCTCTCGTCCACTCGTATGAAGCGGCGGCTCATTTTGGCCGACAGGCGAGTAACATACGACTGTCTGCGCGGTGCACGATGAAGAATGGCCCCTTTGTGCTCTGTGCGAACGCCCGCAGAGTCCATAGACCTTCATCCACAGACCTCTGTCTTTCCATACCAAACAGGGCCACCGGATTCAGCCGCGGCGCCGACTCCGCCCACGGAGACAAACTTGGCCCCAATTAGCATGTATTATCCGATTAGTCACAGATAATCTGGTGGTGTTGGTCTCCAACGCGGAGTTTGGTGTTGTCTGGGTGTCATCTAGGGCGTCTGAGGCACTGGGGTACATTTCAAACATTGGCCAGGCTGTAGCGAATAAAAGAAGTGTGTGACTGTGCACTAAGCAGTGACTCTGCAGTGGAGGAGGCTGCATCGAAAAAAAAAAACTCGAAAGACGTCAGAAATGTACGGAGGATGAAGTGGACTTGAGCAATATAAGCACAGCCACGTATTGAGTGAGGACCTGACTGCCGAGACAGGCCTAACGCGACGTGCCGAGACACAGGTGCTGAGACATCGTGACGTGACGCGCGTGACGAGACATGCGTGACGCTGTGGGTGACGCAGCAGAGGCGGCACTTGAAGTACCCACACAGCACAGACGACGCATTCTTCAAATGTCTTCCGCGGCCCATGACAGAAGCTCAATGATATGCCGCATGCGTGTTCACAATGCACAGTGTACAGTGTACAGGATGTGCGTCAATACAGCAAGCTTGTCAGGCTGACAGTAAGTTCCGCGTCTGCCAAGAGCGCTAAATGTGAGTTCACACGGGAAGATAAATGGCAGGGGTGAAAAACGTTACAACTCGTCGAGTGGCTAATTCCCGTCATCGTCAAGGTCATCCTGGTAGAAATACCTAACCATTAAAATGACACGTAACCACAAACGTGCAGCCCATAATTGACTCGAAATATTTCGGCAGCTCTAACCTCGTACATACTAGGCTTTCCGGTAAAAATGCTCCGCCGCGTCCGGGCTTCGGATCGCGCACGCACATTCCTGGTAAATTGCCAGCTATTTTGATCATCATCTCGTCACTCTGGCAGCGGCTGGAGGCGCGCAGGAAGCGACTGATCCTGCCCGGCGGCCGGCGCCGACCCAAAGGCAACGAAAATAAACAGCCGGCGACGAATTATCACCAATTAACACCACCTCTGACATCATACACCCGCTGGCACGGCGCGCCACTACGAAGGCCGCGGGTTTCCGGCTGAGCACGAGTTACGAACGTCCTGTTCTATGCCGAGCGCGCAACGTCTAGGACCTTCTACGACAGCTCTGCTCGACCCTCAATCAGCAGTGCCTGACCGGTAGTCGCTGATCGAAAGTGTTCTCTTTTTGATCGGCAGTACCCTCCTCCCCCCGATCAGCAGTATTCCTGCCGCCGTTCCCGGGGCGTCGGCGCCCCTCTCTGTTCCCAGAGGAGACGCGCGGCGCCCTCAGAGCACGTGGCGGCCGTGGCGGCGGTATATTGTTTTTGTAAGCGGGCCGCGCCGTGCCCGTCTGCCGGCGCCCATCAGCCATGCATCTGGTGGCCGATAATGTGGGCAGGATGAGCGGGCGTCGACAATAACATTCTGCCACTGCCGCGGCAGACGGCACTGTGCAGCAGATACAGCAGTGTTGTGTGGCAGGGGGAGGAGTGATATAGCTAGACCCGGCACTCGGCGCAGAGCCGCGGATACAGCAGTGATGTGGGGCAGGGGAGGGGTGATATGGACCCGGCGGACGGCACAGTGCTGCGGATACAGCAGTGATGTGCGGCAGGGGGAGGGGTGATATAGACCGGGCAGACGGCACAGTGCCGCGGATAGAGCAGTGGTGTGCGGCAGGGGGAGGGGTGATGTGATATAGACTGCGATAGGAAGCTGCTCTGGGTTCGGCTGTACTAGCAGAGGACGTGATACCCGAGTATTGCGACTTATCTGACTGATAGCTACAGGGTTTAATGACCCTGGAGGCGATTAGAAGAACGGATGCATTCAGCCTAATCTTAGCATGAAATGCAGGGAGGAATCTATGTATTGATTGATTGAAGACGTTTAAGCAAGTGCTTACTTGAGACCCCGAGGACTCGTGATCATTTTGCACTCAAGTCAGCACAGGGACGCAGTGTTTCCTGAATCAAGCAGCACAGCTCCCTTACAGCGAACACTTTATCCGTTTTGGTAAATCCCAGGGTTTTACTACGCTTGCTTTCTGTATCACATCTTACGAGACAAGCAATTGTTCGTGTGTGCGTCTGTTGCAAATAGGCCTATGTAAACAACGCAGCAGCTAGATAACCCTCTGGCACTCTGCAATTATCAAACCTGAAGCACACACTAATTGAAATAGAGACAATACCCAGTCACTTAGCGGCATTACGAACACCACTTATCCAGGGAAGCTGCGTACAAATATTTTTTACTTTCCTAACCATTGCGCTGCAAGAAACCGTAACTTTGCACGATGAGATAAGATAAAACTTTTTTTCTAGAAATGTTTGGAAAGCAATGGAAACCATCTGCATGAGAATTTGCAATATTCTTTAGATCAGTGCAATATAAAAGGTAATCTGACAGTATTTGATACGTTTTTTCCTCTTCATAGAAAACGCAGCTTCTGTTTATTATAGCTGGCGAATGTAGCTATATATGATACGGCTACACTTACGCAACAACATACTTTTTATGTAACGATATTAAGTGTCCACATTGAAGATACCTATACAACATATCAATCATTTTTTTATCAGAAACCAAATCACTGTAAATGAGAACGCAAAAGATAAAATTCCCGATTTTACGAGTTCGACATTTCCCAGCCCGATGGCCGTTATGTTTATCCCCCTGTCCTGACGCCGTGTGTGGCATGGAGGGAGGAACGTGGGAGATAGGAGAGGGGGAGGAGGAGAGGGGAGGGGTGACAAACGATGACGTGGGTTAGCTCATCGTGTCATTCAGTGTCAACAAACACTGTGAAAGGCGCCGCGACAGACCGTGACAAAATTAGCGGTACAATATCACAACACTGAGGGAAGGAGTAAGCTAGGCACTAGCGACATCATCATTTAGCTTTGGAGGAATTCAGCAGGAATTATGCGGGAAATACGGAATAACCAGTAACCGAAGAAAAGCACTATAATAATAGGCGGAGCATAGGCCGGAGCAATGCAATAATGCAAATTAATGGTGTTAAAGGTCTCTCATTTTTTTTGGGATCCTCACAGAGGCCCCTGTCGGTCACTACGAGCTGTCTCGGGTGGGCGGCAGGGTGGGCAACGGGGAGTGATGTGGCATGACTTCTGCTTGCTTGTATGTTGTCTATATACACCTCTCCTCTCAAATCTCCTGCATGCAGCCTGCTCGTGGCCGTCCTGCTATTGCAAATGCATGTCAGGTGGCCCGGACCGCCGGACGGGATATTTCGGCAAGGGAGGAGCTGCGGCCCCCTTAGACCCGAGTGCTGGGCCCATCAGACGCTTCGTGGCGCTGAGGAACACGTCCCGACTCGCGGTCAACTCGCAGACCCAGTCATGGGCTAAATGACAGGGAGGAGATGCGGCCCCCTCAGGACGCGAGTGCTGGGCCCGCCATTGTGTGGACCACGTCCCGACTCCGTCCAACTCGCATCCCCAGCCATGGGCAAATGGTCACCGCTCGGGACGCTGAGCAGCGCGCGGTGGGGGCGGGGGCTCTTGGGCATCCCACGTTGGGTGCTCCTGAGGTCCCTCCTCAACTCTGACCACGTCCCCGTGGTCGAGTACCAAGAAGGGCGGCCCTCGAGTGGAGGGTACCGGTCGTCGACTGCCATGCCAGGCGTGAGCTGCCCGCCTGGATACGTCGAGAGAAGTAGCACCTCCTCACGATCGGGTTCTAACCATGTCCTCATGGCCGCAGGGACTGGGCCACGCGTGAGGTGGGATGGTGGGAGGGCTTTTCAGCCCTATGTGGGGTACCGCCCTCCTGAAGAGGTCACACTCAAAAAAGGATCCCCACCGGCCTAGCCGCCTCTGCACTAGGGTCGGTGTAGATAGGGGTGCTCCGGCACTCTGAACGGCGGTGAATAACTTGACCTGCGGTACACATCTCGCGCAATGGAGTTCATGCTGCAAGGTGTGTCCTCCCGGATGATCACCCGGAAACTGACCGCGCTCGAACTTCTGACTACGATTCGTCTCTGCAATCAGCTGTATCATCTCCCGATATCGACTCGACTGCGTCATCCACCCAGACCTCGAGCTCGTCCCCGCAAGGTACTTCTCGATCGGTGAGGGGTCGCCGCGCGGGAGCTCGTTGCCGGCACACAAAGTCTTCCAGACTTCTTCACTCAAATCTGATGATCGGATACTGGAATGTCCGCGGGGCAAGGTCCAAACTCTTGGAGCTGGAGACCATCTCGGAACGGTACGATGTGCTTCTTTTGCAGGAGACGCTGCTCAGCACTCCCCACTTCTTCCGGCTCCCAGGCTTCAGCATCATACGTCACGACTATGGGAGGGGCATCCTCATCGCTGTCCGCGACCGGCCCGGCTTGACATGGAAAACACTGGACTGCACCGACTTCGAACCAGGGGACTACCTGATCCAAGGGGTGTCTGTTGGAGACGACCGACTGCGGGACGCCGTCAGCGTGTACAACGTGTACGCATCACACTGCTCCGCCGTGGATGACTGGCGGTTTCTGGAGCAGATCGAGAACCTGCCAGGCCCCTCGCTGGTGCTCGGTGACTTCAATGCGCGGTCTCCAGCCTGGTGCGCCAGCGGTCTACACAACTCTAACGGCAAGGCACTGGAAGAACTGCTCTCAGACTCCGGTCTGCAGCTGCTGACCTCCCCCACCCCGACGCGTCTAGCTGATCGTCCGGGTGATTCAGACACCACGATCGACCTCGCCTTCTCCGCGGGGGATGTGCCTGGCGACGTCTTCTGGGCCCCAACCTACCACGGTGCCAGCGACCACCTACTGTGCGAGGTTCGTGTCCGGTTTCCGAGGACCGGGCCCTCGCCTTCTGCTCAGAGACCTCGCCTGTACCATCTTCGTCAAGGAGGTACAACCCTCCACTCCACCTTGCTCTTCAAGGAAGCCAAGTCAAGACGGCGCCAGGGACGAGAAGCAGCCGCGATGCCCACTCGGAAGCAATGGTGGACACCGGAGGTAGATGCAGCATGGCGCAACAAACGCTCCGCGCTGAAACATTGGCGTGCCGCCAAAACATCGTGTGACGCCTCCACCAGGGAGACTGCTCGCTCAGCCAGAAACAAGGCCGACGCCGTATGGAAGCGGATCACCCTCTCGTCCAAGCGCAGGTGTTGGGACGTCTTCTTGCAGGAGAGCTACAGAGACTCGGGCCAGTTCTGGCGTTTCATCGGTTCCATGGGCGACTCAAAACCGCAGACCTCCAGCATGCAGATGGTGGCGGGCTCCCGCATCCTGCGTACCGACGAGGAGAAGGGATCCGCCTTTCTGCAGCGTTTTGTTGACCAGTGCTCCCGCGGCGACATGTCCAGGAGAGACGAAGCAATCCGAGACCTTTCGTCCAGACTACCGCAACTCGCTCCATCTGAACTCTTCGGCATGGACGACCTCACTCGGGCGATCGAGCGCATAGGACAAGTATCCCCAGGACCCGACAGGATTCCAGCCTCTGCTCTCAAGAACCTCTCTGCTCAGTCGAAAAGTCGGCTCCTCTCAGAGATCAACGAGTCCCTGGTCTCCGGCATCGTGCCCACCGAGTGGTGCGACAGCGTCCTCGTCCCAGTTCCCAAGCCAGGGAAGGATCACCACCGCCTCGAGGGCCACCGGATAATAGCAGTACAAAATCTGCTTGGGAAGGTGGCTGAATCCATGGTATGCGAGAGGCTGGCGTCACATCTGGAGCCTCGGATGCCTCCCGGCATGGGCGCATACCGCAAGGGACGGTCCACGTGGACAAACGCAGGGGTGGTAACGCACGTCATCTCCGAGGCCTTCGAACGTCGAGAGCAAGCCGTCCTGGTCGCCCTCGATCTTCAGGACGCTTACAACATGGTGTCTCTCCCCAAGCTGGCCCACCGTCTCCTCGTCCTCGACACGGACGTGCGGCTGACCAGATGGATCATGGCAGCGCTGCGATCCCGGAGATGCTCCATGAAGTGTGGCAGGTGGATGTCCGACTGGACGGACGTTCCCACCGCACTGCCCCAGGGGTCACCCCTCTCGCCCATCTGCTTCAACGCCTACTTGCAGCCCATCGCCTCCATCATCACGCCTGACAACGCAATCCTTTTGTGCTACGCAGATGACATCACCATCGTCGCGTGGCACAGGGACATCTCCTCAGCAATCGGCACCGCTCAGGAGGTGGTCAACAATGTGAAGGCCGCATGCGACCATCTCGACATGGTCATCAACCCTCAGAAGGCATCCGTCACTGTCTTTGGAAAGCGCCGCCCCACCCAACCGTTGGAAGCGGTGGTCTACGGGGGTGAACCCATCTCCTACTCTGATCAAGTAAAGCTGCTGGGCGTGACGCTGGACCCGGCTCTCACCTTTAACGCCCACGCCGACTCAGTGCGCAGCAGATGCGTTCGCGCTCTGTCAACGCTGAAAGCGGCCTACAGCAGGGGAGTTGACTTGAGACGGATCAGTCATCTCTATCGCTCGCTTGTCCTCTCTCGAATCACCTACGGACTCGAGATCATCAATCCGCTGAAGACAACGATGGACAAGCTCGAGCGGATCCAGAACAGCGCTCTCCGACTCGCCACCGGGTGCCCCAGACAGACGCCGGTCACTGCGCTGAGGTACATGTTTGACCTGCCCTCCATCGTCGACCTACACGAAGTCCTACGAGCCAGAGCGGTGTGCATCGTCGCCTCCGACTGCGGCCATCCCTTGCACGACTTCGTCGACCAAGCCCTGGCACGCGCTCCACTGGCACGTCTGCAGCGCACGGGCTGGCTGCGCGATGGGACCAAAGCTCTGCGCGGTCTCTGCGGTCGGCACAAGATCCGCAGATCTCACCTGTGGTCTGCGACGCCTCCCGCCACCAGATGCCGATGGACCTTCAAGATCGACCTCTTCAGCCGCACCGACCGTGAGCTACCACCACACGTAGTGAACGCCATGTTTGAGGAGGTCCTGGCCGACACCAGCAGTGAGCTCCCACAGCCCCTCGTCGTCCTGGCCACTGACGGTTCTGTCACCACAAGCACCCCAAGATCGGGATGGGGGTGTGTGATGAGGGAGTCAGACGGCAGCCTGCAGACCCACCGTGGAGGCTGTAACCTTCGCCTCTCTAGCATGAGGGCTGAGCTGGAGGCCATCTTCCGCGGTCTGGATCTTGCCAGAAGCGCCCACCCTGATCTAGCCGCGTGCATCATCTGCACCGACTCTCAGTCTCTCCTGCGCAAACTAGAGAGCGGATCGGCTCCTCCGGAGTGGCACGACCTCCCTCAACAAGTCGTCTGGGTATACTGCCCAGGGCACGCCGGAGTCCAACTGAACGACAGAGCCGATCACCTGGCTGGCAGCGGTTCTGCTTCCGACTACCTGGAGCTCGGGACGCAGGACATCCAACTCATCATACGGGATCGACAGCTGAGCAGCCGCGACGACGGGTCGTGGGAGGAGAGGAGGATGAGCGAGAGAGGCCTGCAGCGGGGTTGGGCGGCGAAATCCACCTCCCGTGGCCGCGCTGCCCACACGATGTGCCAGCTGGCCACTGGTACTCTCTCCCGAGCGGCGCTGACCAGGGTGTTCCAGCTAGGAGGAGCAGAGGCTGCTTGGGGCCAACTATTGGGCCTCCGCCGGCTAACGACGCTGCCGCTCGACCAGTAAGACCAGTATTAGATAATAGACGGCTGCAAATATGTGCCTTTATGCAGTTGTGGGCATTTCATAACACATTCTGTCGTTAATTTATCTTCCGTTACTGGCCGAGCAAACGTGCTTTCTCCAAAAGCCATTAGGCTGAGCGAGTGAAATCAGCTGCGACCGCAGGCCAATCAGTCCAGAATTAATTGACACGGGTGAACAAATGAACACCTCTGTATACCGCTGAGGGAAACGGAATGGCGCTAACAAACACATGTTTATACCGTTTATAAGGAGATAAACCGCGAGTAGGTACTCTGACACAGGAACGGATAAAAGCTAAAAGCGTTATTTTGTGCCGCTCTGTTTTCATATTTTCAAACATTTGCAGAGCAAACAATGGGCAAGGTAGCTCTGTGTGGCATATTGGAGAGCATAAATTGAAAGGTTTAAAGTAAGGTGAGGCAGGAAACGGAAAAAGCCAGCGCGAGAAAGTTGGTGAAAAACATGCATATGAAATAATTTTGCAATTAAATGGCAGAGCAACGTAAAAAGAAAACAATGATCCAGTGGGACAAAAAAGAATGAATGCCAGTCCAAATGGGGTTACGAAGGACCTTGAGATACCGAATATAAAAGAGACGATTACGGTTGGGTCCGTTTTTACAATGGGGGACCCGGCATTCCAATACAATAGGAGTTCCGCTTCCAACCAACGGTAGAGATTCAGGCACGACAGAAGTGAGGAGAGCTCTCTTTCGATTTCGAGCGCGAGTATCGAAAGACAAACGAAATGCAGCGACGTGTGTGATATAGTAGCAATGAAAAGTGCTCGCAAGGGATGATAGCTTTAGAAGATGGATATCGACACTGATGGGAAATTAATGAGGAAAGGTTGGAAGGACAGCGGTACACGTATGGAGAGGGAAAGGGAGAGGGAGAGAGAGAGAGAGAGAGAGAGAGAGAGAGAGAGAGAGAGAGAGAGAGAGAGAGAGAGAGAGAGAGAGAGAGAGAGAGAGAAAGAGAGAGAGAGAGTCAAGGAGCCACAGGGAGGGGATTCCTCCCTCGGCGGTGACGCCTGGCACGTCGACACGTGCCTACGACATACCGGCACATTCCTCCCAACACCAAACACTCCCAGAGACCAGATTACGCAACATGTCGCGGGGCAGACAGGGCGAGCACGGGCCGGGGTAACGGCCGCTGACCCAGCGTGCCCCGGGGCTATTTCTGCCCGGGTCGGCGGCACTGTTTACTGGCACCAGAGGGGAGCGGGGGAGGACCGTCCCGCCGACGGGGAAGTCTCCCGACTCCCGCGGGGGCAGTCGCTTCATCACGAGCCGCCGCCGGGTGACGGGTTTACACGGGACGCCATCAGCCGGCCCTAAGGCAATCGGCGCCAGTGTCGGACGGAACGCCAGTTCAGAGCGCCGTGAGTCGAGATAGTAAAGAAGAGAACTAAAGCAGACGTCGTAAGCATCACTTTGGCAGGATCTTCCTCATGCACCTGACATTGAAAACAGCTGTTCCGTATGTGCCGGTAGTTTTTGTCGTTTGGTAATCAATAAACAAGACCCGTTGAGACTTAAATACGAATTAAGCAAACAAGTGAAAATAGAATCCACGATGCTCAACAAAGCGCAGGTAATATATGGTGTCTGCGGTTGGTAAGCCAGCCCTCTGGGGGTGCTATTATCAACAGCCGCAGCGCGGGAGCGGCCACGGTCCGATTGTCGCCGCCAAGCGGGTTGGCCGCGCACCGTCGCGTCGGCTCAGCGGCGAGACATCATCAATCCTGGCCAATCTAACATTCGCCGCCGCCGCCGGCACCTCCGTCTGGAGCAACAAAAAGCCGCACCAATGAATCATACGGCTCCCCCAGCCCGGCGGTTTTTACACTGCCCGCGTGAAATCCCGGTAATCTCCGAGCTGTCACGAATAGTAATGGTGCCATATGACCCGACCGCAGAGAGCTGTTGGGAGAAGATAACTCAGCGGCCCGGCCGGTGACGCGCCGGTTTAGGGCCGCGGTGGGACGGTTTAGGGTCTCTCGGCACGAGGGTTTAGGGCCTATCGGCATGGGAGTCTAGGATCTTTCAGTGCGCCGGTTTAGGATCTCGGTGGAACGGTTTAGGATCTCTTGGCGCGAGGCTGAGGATCTCTTGACACGGTTTAGGGTGTCTTGACAAGAGGGTGCCAGCTCTCTCCGCACGCGGTTTAGGATCTCCAGCGGTCGCGATCTCACCTGTGTGTGTTCGCTGGTGGGCCTTGAGGTGGGACGACTTGGTGTAGACCTTCTTGCAGCCGGAGAAGAGGCACTTGTGTATCCGCCGCTTGCCATCTGGCGAGGAGTCGGCGCGCGCCGGCCGGCCGTGGCCCGCCTTGAGCGACAGGCCCGGCAGGCACGAGATGAGGCCGCCGGCGCGCGACGTGAAGCGCACCTGGAGCGTGCCGCGGCCGGCCAGCCGCGCCGCCGACGGCCACTCGGGACTGGAGGGCGGCGTGAGCGAGTGGGCCAGCAGCCGGCCGGCGGCGTCCTCCATCTCCGAGTCGCTCTCCGACTCGGGCTCCTCGGTCTTGACGCTGGCCGTCTCCCAGTTGGCCGACGAGCCGGAGCTGACGCTGAGCGAGTCGAGCGAGTCGCGCGACGAGAACAGGTACTCGCCGTCGTCCGGCTCCGGCTCCGACTTCCACCGCGCCGCCGCCGAGTCCAGCTCGGACGGCAGCTTCTTGTACGACTTGAGCTTCGGCTCGTCCTTTAGGTACTTCTCCATCTCGTAACATGTCTGAAAATGAAAGAAACGCGCACTTAGCATTGCATTTATTTAGCCACCCGGTCAATAACGACTATCGTTTTATCATCAATTGCCGGGCTGTGTATGCGCATTAAGTGGTTAGTGCATCTCATTCAACATTGTGTTCTACCACTGATGGCTATCCAAACTCACTTTATCATGCTGATAATATACTCAAGCATGACTTGCAGATTACCAGAAACACGGTCCTCCCCAAAGACCCCGATATCAATCCCATTATTTCATATCCACAAGGGAACGTCGACCGACTTAGCATTCAAACCGCCGACCACCCTGCATATTCATTTGATCGACGTCTTGCACAAAGAGGCCCGCCTGTCAGCGCTGGCGTTTTGAACCGACATGTGCTGAGTTTGGGATTTTTGACGTCGGAAAGTTGACAGCCCGTCTGCCGGTCTGGGAGGCTGCACCGACAGAGTTCCACAGCCTTTGTGGAAGCTCTGTTGTCGGCGGCCGGGACGGCGATCAAAGTTCTTCATGGAAAAGTTGCCGGTCGAACACAGCGGCGCGTGAACGTACCGGTCCGCTGAAGCTGCGCCGGTAATGGACGCGGACGTGCTTCACTGCAGGCATCGGGCCAGACAAAGGCGGGGTCGGAGAACTGGTGACCAGGGGTGAGCACTGACCAGTCTAACTTCCCGACATGGACGATATTTGGGTCATTATGCTCCTGTGATGTAATTAGCGCAGAGGTTAGATGAAGCGAATAAACGGATGTGAATCAAACGATGCAATGGTAGAGCTTCAACCAGCATTAGCCTTATGAAACCACATACAAAAAGGTTCTGCTTTATTCAAGCTGACATGACATCTTCCAAACAACTATGACGTTCAGGCATCCTATGAACAGCGCCACCTTTTCCAGGTAGCTCATACGCACAGTCTCGCATCCCCACCGTCCTCCCAGGGTACCCTCCGAGCAGCCACCCGCGGCCCTATCCCCGGCGCCGGTAGCGTCAGTGACACCTTCCAGCCGGTAAACAAACCATCTCGGGTATTGACGGACGAAAAACAGTGCCGAACAAACTGCTGGCGGCGCGCCGGTGAGCCAAGCTGCTGCGTGAGCCCACCCTCAGCGGGCTGACCGGCCGACGGATCCCCTCAGACAGCCGGACCGGCCGATAAACCTTTTAGAGAGCAGACCGGCAGGAGGTGAGCCCGTGCGAGCCCACCCTCAGACCGGACGGAGGTCAGCCCGTTTCAGGGACAGACAGGGAGACAGGTGGTTCGGCCGCCACCCTCCCCCGCTCAGACGGGTTATTTCGAGCCGTGGGCGGCGGATCACAGTCGATCCCGCCCTCCGTCGTCCCTCCATCGGCGTCAGGTGGACGACCATCCGACCAGACGCGCCCCAGTTCACACCCACTCGGCGCTAAAATCCCACCGCCGCTCCACCGCCCGCTCGGGCCACAATCGTCCGTGTCCGGTCGTTTTCGCCGACATTCGAATTTCACACCAGCACGGTCCCATTGAGGCGATCCGTCTGCTCGGTCGCTGGGGAAGGGTGTTCGGACGGATCAACGCTCCTCAGGCGTGCCGACCTCGGGTGGCGTGGAATTAAACCCGAAAAGCCCGACACGACGCCGACGACAGATGAAAAAAGCCAATCTGTAAAATGCTGCTTTCACGAGGTAACTAGCAGGCGGTGGCGGTTGGATAACGACGGGACTTATGGTCGGGACGGGGTGTGAGAGGACGAAAAGGGCCATCCGACCGAGGGGGGAGGTGGGGGAGGGCTCGAAATGGCGCCAGGCCCGGGGAGGGCGTGTCTGTACCCTTCTGACCTGCCCCAGCGCCGCCGACCGAAATGGAGCCCTATAGAGCTCGATTCTCCCCGATGGCCCGACGGGACACGACCGTCGCGGCCGGTTTACGGCTGACTTTATCGTCCTGACCTTCCCACTGCCGGCGGCGTCGGGCCAGACCGGCGCCATCGGCCGCCACTCGACATTAGCACCGGCCCCGTGCGCCGTCCACGCGCCACCTGACCCGACCCCGTGGCGCCGGAAACTTCGACCGGCGGCGGACGGCTCACGGACGGAGCCCCGGTACGGGACACGGCTCACGGACGGAGCCCCGGTACGGGACACGGCTCACGGACGGAGTCCCGGTACGGGACACGGCTCACGGACGGAGCCCCAGTACGGAACACGGCTCACGGACGGAGCCCCGGTACGGGACACGGCTCACGGACGGAGCCCCGGTACGGGACACGGCTCACGGATGGAGCCCCGGTACGGGACACGGCTCACGGACGGAGCCGCGGTACGGGACACGGCTCACGGACGGAGCCCCGGTACGGGACACGGCTCACGGACGGAGCCCCGGTACGGGACACGGCTCACGGACGGAGCCCCAGCACGGCTCACGACTATAGACACTGGCCCGACCCTGGCCAACGCTACTTTCCGAGGCGGCACGCCGAACTTTCCGGCAAATTACAGACGCGGCGCGGTCGTGACAAAGACGGTGCACCGGCGGCGGAAGCGGTGTTTATTGTGTCTGGCGAGCCGACACCGGAACCGGGCCAAGCGACAAGCTCGCCGTCGAGCAGCGCCGATAAACACTAAACAGGTGCAATGCGGGAGAATCGGACCGAGTGTGCTGTGTGACAGTGCTCACCGGCAATGGAGGTGACTGAGTGAGAGGAACGTGACGAGAAGAGCGTCAGAGCCACGGAGACGGTAGGGGTAGGCTGAGACCTACACACTACACAGCGACCAGGCTAAAGGCATCCAAAAGTGCACAGTCATCTGTGCAAGGGATATTTGCATGAGTGATCAACTCATAGCGGCGACGCGGCTATGGAAGGTTAGGACCCTGCCCGGGCGCCACTGAACGTGACCGGAGCAAAGGGAGACGGGGGTCGGAGACAGATAAATCACCCCGCCGACAGACGCGGGACAGACCCTGACTAGGGGTGGTGCGAAGGGGAGTGTAGGAACGGGCGCGCCGCTGGCAGGAGAGCCGAGAGGCGCGAACGGCAGTCGTCGACTGCGACGGACGGCGAGTGGAGCAGAGAGTGGGCGAGAAGTGAGCTAAGGAATCCGTGCGGAGTGCCAACGGCTACGAGGATTACCTGATCACGCACTCCTTAACGCCGACATGGCCGCCGGCGAGTGGAGCGGAGAGCGAGCGAGAAGGGAGCCAGGGAAGCTGTGGGGAGTACCAACGGCTACAAGGATTCTATGGTCAGGCACACTAACGCCGGCACGGCAGGTGAGGCGTATCGAGCACGGCTCGGGGGTACGTACAGCGGAGTGCGGTTCCTTGCGGCGACACCACGAGGATGGTTGCCCGGCGACTGACGCGGCGCCACCATGAGGATGGTTCCCCGGCGACTGACGCGCATCTATTCAGAGGCATATTAAGCGCACACGCAATCGTAAAGGAAACCGGGGAGCCTGGTAGGCACGCTTTGAAGGGTCGTGCAACGCGGCACCCCAACCTGCGACGCGATACACACAAAACACCTGGACCTGGTTCCGGCCACTCTACAACTCATGCACACACATCAGGTCCGCCGCCGACCCCTCGGCTACTCTGCAACTGCAATGCGTCCGAGGCCACGCTACTCCACACGGCACATACATCAGTCCCGCTGCCGACGCCTCGGCTACTCTGCAACTCACGCACATACATACTCATGCACATGCATCAGGTCCGCCGCCGACGCCTCGGCATGCACATACATCAGGTCCGCCGCCGACGCCTCGGCACGCACATGCATCAGGTCCGCCGCCGACGCCTCGGCACGCACATGCATCAGGTCCGCCGCCGACGCCTCGGCACGCACATGCATCAGGTCCGCCGCCGACGCCTCGGCTACTCTGCAGTAGAGATGTCCTCGGATACAACTTTTCGGTATACCGATACCATACTGATACCAACTCGGTACTTCGTATTTGATTCCTAATGTGTTCGGTATTTTGTTGGTATAATGCACCCTAGGTTGGTACTTGGTTTGGTGTCGGTATTCCGATTTTCCGTAGTTGACGTCACTACTCTGCACCGCACATGCATCAGGTCCGCCGCCGACGCCTCGGCACGCACATGCATCAGGTCCGCCGCCGACGCCTCGGCTACTCTGCAGTAGAGATGTCCTCGGATACAACTTTTCGGTATACCGATACCATACTGATACCAACTCGGTACTTGGTATTTATTCCTAATGTGTTCGGTATTTTGTTGGTATAATGCACCCTAGGTTGGTACTTGGTTTGGTATCGGCATTCCGATTTTCCGTAGTTGACGTCACTACTCTGCACCGCACATACATCAGGTCCGCCGCCGACGCCTCGGCACCCACATGCATCAGGTCCGCCGCCGACGCCTCGGCTACTCTGCAGTAGAGATGTCCTCGGATACAACTTTTCGGTATACCGATACCATACTGATACCAACTCGGTACCTGGTATTTGATTCCTAATGTGTTCGGTATTTGTTATCATAATGCACCCTAGGTTGGTACTTGGTTTGGTATCGGTATTCCGATTTTCCGTAGTTGACGTCACTACTCTGCACCGCACATACATCAGGTCCGCCGCCGACGCCTCGGCACCCACATGCATCAGGTCCGCCGCCGACGCCTCGGCTACTCTGCAGTAGAGATGTCCTCGGATACAACTTTTCGGTATACCGATACCATACTGGTACCAACTCGGTACTTGGTATTTGATTCCTAATATGTTCGGTATTTTGATGGTATAATGAACCATAGGCTGGTACTTGGTTTGGTATCGGTATTCCGTTTTTCCGTAGTTGACATCAATACTCTGCACTGCACATACATCAGGTCCACCACCGATGCCTCGGCTACTCTGCAACCCACGCACACACATCAGGTTCGCCGACAACGCCCCGGCCACTCTGCAAATCACGCACATACATCAGGTCCGCCGCCGACGCCTCGGCTACTCTGCAACTCATGCACATGCATCAGGTCCGCCGCCGACGCCTCGGCTCCTCTG